TTTCGGACAGGTTACGACCGGGTATGTTGTCTACACGAGTGATTCTAATGGTACTTGCGAGTTGAACGACAGGGATGATGATGAAAAGATGACGAGGAGGACTGCAGTTGGTACAGTGATAGGGAATTATCTGAGTGTGCAACATTCATCCATCGTTTCAGTAATTCGCCCTCTACCAATGCTGTACCTACCTCTACATCCTCGCATCTGAAACAGCTATTGTGGCTGCCAGCTGGGTATGTATTTATTCAACTTTTAATCTCTCTGTACTTAGCTTTTCACCTGCAGTGCCTTCACTCCTCGCTGATGAGGCGATAAGTCAAGGCGGCATAGAAGAAGCGAAGTGCACGTGATAGGAAGGGATTAAGAGGCTGCAAGCGTGGATCCACCGAAATGTTGCGTAGCAGAACTCGCAACCTGCAGAGGTAGCAGAGTCGGTGCTCCTTGCGCATGCGATGAATCAACTGTTGAACAATCTGCTGCATTGCACAACTTTCGCCACTGGCTTGACCTTCCTCATGCCTCGGCTGGCATTTGATCAGTGGGAAGGCAGGTGCACGAATTGCTTCATCAGACGTCAATGCTTGCTTGGTAGTCTGCTTACCACTCCTTCCCACTTCCTCCTAGTGGGATGCTCTTCTCTATGTCTCAGGCGACATTTCATGAACTGAAATGCCATTCATGCAAAACGCCTTTTTCGAATTGAAAAGCATGATGCATGGCAGTTAAATTTGGTGAATGGGGTAAGGCTATGCAAGTGGGGGAAAATGACTACCACAGGCAGCTCACTGCAATATTTTCCATTCTAAGCAGAAGATTAAATGGAAAGAAATGAAATATTGCGTGCTCCTATGCAACCATCAGCTTATTTCTCCGTCGACCTAGTTCAGTCATCGTCGTGAGGCACAGAGCTGACAGGGCATTGCACGTGGTGATCATTGAGTCGACGTGGCGGGGTGAAAATTTCATTGTGTGAAGAATCTGCAAAATATTGAAATGTATTGTGATTGATGAAATAGTGGGAGAGGTACATTTGCATGGAAAGAAGTGACAAATATCAATATTTACTATCAATCCATCCACTCTCTATATATCTTACTTTCACCACCGCTCGTTTATCTACCCATCATGTACCCATTCATCCTTCATCCACCCATCCACACATTCAACCACGTATCCCATTATGCTTCCATCCTATATTCATCCGGTATGCGTTTTCCATCAATTCATTCATCCTCCCATCTGTGTATACATCCCCTTTCCCAGCCACCGATGCTCTCATCCATTCATTCAACACCTTTATAAGGCCTTTTCTTTCCATCTATTCTGTTTGCATTCATCCTGAATCCATATATCCACCAGCTATCCGTCAAAACATCATTTCATCTATTTGTTCATCTCCCATGCATCCAGATGTCCATTC